TTTCTGATGATGTCTGCCTCCGCGCACAAAAATGAGATGGGCATCACTGCCAACGCCGACGGCCAGAAAGGCCCGCGCATCTACATTTTCCCGCCTGACCCCATCAGTGCCGACCCAACTCCACCACCACACGCACGCCTCGCGGCGGATGCGCAGCAGCAAGAAGGTTTCGGTCATCCCTTGAGAGTAGGTCTAGCCCTGCTCGCCAGAAAGACCCCCCCCTTCGCTACAACCCATGTCTAAGCAAAAGCTTGTCGAGGAGCGAGGGGAAGAAGGGAGAGTATTGTTCGGAAAAACGCCATACCTAATTCTGAGTCTCATGCGACGACTGCGTCAGTTCCAGCACCTCGACTTCGCTCTCTGCTGCTGCTGCAGCATCAGCAACCTCCCATTTACAGTTGCAAATTTTCACCCGTCATCGACAGATTTTCCATCGGCAAGAAGAGCGCATCGTTAAGAATACTAGTGTAGCCAGATAGCGGGCACTAGGTACTGCTGTGCTTTCACACACGAGAGTGATTGGGCACGGCGGGCATGTTACTGTGGATGTGCGAGACTTGGCTGACTGAGTGGTTTTGCCGCTCTTTTTTCACCTGGTTTGAGTTCTTGTGTGTGGCATCTCCCTTTTTTTTGGCCCGCTACGTTCTTGAAAATTCCGGTGGATACATCGTCACCTGTCCCAGGATCTCCGAATGCAAACGCCTGTGAAGCACGGCCACTTCTTGTCAGAGCACCACCAAACCCCGGTTTGACGAACAGTGCCCTGTGTCTCTTCCTCCTTAAAAAACAACAAATCGTCAATCGGTGCCCTATAGGTCTTGTTCTGGTCGAAATGAGGGTCATGTTGGTCGCCCACATTATCAAGTGTGGGTCCCTGCATTGCGTTGGAAGTTGAAAGAGGCCGACATACGAAGCCTTTTCCATCCCTCCTGGGGTGAAGGCAACATCAAGGTCGCGGCTCCGCGGCTCGTTGTGGGAAGGGTTCCTGAGACCCCCAAGTGAGTCGTTTTCCCTTCCAGGCAGAGGACAATGAGATGGGCGACAAGCAGGTCGCACCGATGTTCCGAACTGTGTACTTTGGGAAACAACCATTGGGCACAAACTGACCGAAAGAGGAGAAATCACGTCGCAGCCGCAACACGCGACTTGCTGTTGCAGCTTTCTTAATGTGGAAACTGATATTTTCAAGTAGCCGCTAGAATCACCCCGAACGCTGATGTTGTTAGGGCCGTTTACTACGGTGTCTTTTTTCGGAGATCTTTGTTCCCCCAAAGGGAGGACCCAAAAAGGGATCGACAAAAAAAAGTGATCGCTTCCTACGTACGGTGCTGGTCGATCCTGTTTCTCTTCCGAGTCATCGACCGAAAAAACGACCCTGCAACAGCCGTTCGTCACACATACATACACCTTCTACCGCTTTGTTTTCTCGGTGATATCTCCGCATAGAGTGAAGCAGCAGCAACTGTAGAGCTATTCCCCGCGAGCTGTGTGTATGGTCCGTCTTGGGTGGTGGCTGATAGAGACCACAGCGCGATTGGAGGCACGGAAACTGAAGTGGCGAGAGTCAACAGCATATCTATTGCTCTTTCACCCGTGTCCCAACTATTATTTATCGATGCTCCCTCGCCACCCACTGAAGCAACAACGATGACAAAGGTATTTGCCATGAGCTGTGTGTTGGTCCGTCTTGTGTGGTAGTTGGTACAGACCACGAGGCTGAAGGGCGCTGAGAACTTATGAGCGCGAGAGTCGTGGACAAGCGTGAAAAAGAACCCGCCTCATCCAGGCAGCTTTATTTGCTGTTTCACCCGTGTCACAACTGTGGTTCATCGATGCTCCCTTGCCACCCACTCAAGCAACAGCGATGACAAAGGTATCCGCCATGAGTTGTGCGTATGGTCTGTCTTGTGTGGTGGTTGATACAGACCAGGAGGCTACAGAGCGCCCAGAAGTTGGGTTCGCAAAGTTGACAGCACACCAAAAACGACCCACCGCTATAATTACGTCCAGGCTCTCTCGGCTCGTTTGCCCCTTGTTTGCCGCACACATCGGGTTGTCTACCTGGTCCCAGCCGAATGAAAAAACCAACGGCCACAGCTGATGCTACCGATTCTGCACCAGTCACATGGCACAGCTCGTGTGAACACTGTAAGAGTTTGGGGGGATCAACCGTCGAGAGAATCAAGTTTGTAGGTAAGCGTCATGTGGTTGTGACCAAAAAAAGACCAAATAATTTGGGAGCCACACCCTGTCCAAAAGTTCCTCAACAAAAGACAGGATGGCGTGGCTAAAAAGGGTTGTCTTTATTGTCGGCATTTTTCGCTGAAAACACCGTAAGAGGGGTTCTTTGGCCACTTGTCTTCTCTTGTGCTGAAAAAAAGAAAAAGACAGCCGACAAAAGACACCGTAAAACATGGTCTAAAGGGTGATGGGGAAAACCATCTGAATACCACCTACTACTTCATTTTCCGTTAGGTTAGTACTAGGCTCTGTCAATGCAAAGAACCGAGCTCACTCTCGTGATGAGATCCTCGAAACAAGGTGCACATATGTTGAATATCCAGAGGTAGTCTCACCAATCCGCGAAATCAAACAAACGTTTGGAAGAAAACAAGGCCAGGTGGGCAATAATCAACAAGACATGCCATGGCAAGGCCGAAATAACGGAACATTAGCCCATGGCTCGAAAGAATGCAACTCGGAGGCTGGGTCAAGAAAAAATTACGCAAAGACTGCTGCTGCTCCTAGTAAAATAGAGAGAAATAATCATACCCCAGCAAAAGCAGGGGAGTTCATTATCGTTTGTTTTTGTAAACCAGAGACCAACCCCCCAGTGAAGGGCATGACGAGGGCTTCATTTGTCATACAGGGCACGTTGAAATCAACGACGCACACCATCTCGCTGAGTACGTGCTGCCGCAGGCAGTATCTCTGCGCGCTTGATCACTATGCCAGAACGCTCTCCGTCGTTCTCCTTCATCACCCACACAAACACTTCCCTCGCACCCACATTTCAGGGCGTGGGGGGTCGTCAGGCAACAAGGACTGTGTCACAATGCAACTGCGTAGTAGGTGGGCTAGTGGGTACAAGAGAAACAACGGATGCCACCAAACCCAGACCAGAGAAGCCATCGGATCATTCAAAATGTCGGTGCTACAAAATTCTGCCTCACTCAACGGAACATGCCCACCGCCCCATGTTCTACTTCCATCGATGTTACTATATGAACGAAGGCACCACGGTTACGACGTACAACATCCACAACCGAGCTGTCGTTGGTAAAGCACCCACGGCCAATACTCCCAACGTACAGACAATACACCAGGAGCCCACCACGTCGCTTGAACGGAGCAGTTCATCGCTCCTCACGCACGCGAACGTGGTGACCAAGATGGGTGCAAGGTGGGTGCCACAGTCACAACCGCAGGGTCCGCCTTCTGCACAAAACAGAACGAAGAAACACAAGAACGGAGCGAACAATGACCGTGAGGTCAGAAGTACATACAGGATGTTGGGTCAAGGTACCCTAGTCTGTTTCACCTCAATTCTTAATCCAAGTGAATCAGGTACTCCCTGCTGCCGACCCGTTGGCTAGTCTCGTTAATGATATCGTACTTGCGTCGTAACAAAGCTCTGTTTGACGCGGAAACATTGTGTGGAAAATAAGTCATGGCTACATTTCATCAAGCTTTCCATACCCGTTTGGGTTTGGGGTGTGTGGACCATTGCAACATGAAATATTATCGGATGCGGGTGAGTAAGATATGATTCCGGCATACACCTAGAAGACATCAACAACAAATACATCATAATGTATGCCCTGAAAAATGAACAACTAGGCGAATGAACGTCCGAAAAGGGTTTGCGATCACACTCCCCCTAAATCTAGACGTAGGCACCTTTTGAAAAATACATACCCGGTATAATTGATATCCAATTACCCTGATGTTGACCCTATTGTACAACAGGGAGTATTCAAAACGTTCGCTTGTTCTCGTTTCATTGTGCTGGCTCAAACTGAGTGCCCGAAAATATAAATACAGAAGGAGATGTGTCATCCAAGCATTTAAACTCCACCAAGCTAGGAAGGGCAGAGATATTCGACTTTCAATTGATCGACGGCTGATGTGCTTTGCCTACACCTTCACCATTGCTTTGTGTTGTCTTCTTTCCTTCAAAGGTGAGCGAGAAAAAAATGGGAGCCAAGAAACAATCAAACTTGCCACGGACCAACTAACCGAGCCACAGCATCATTCGTAGTGGTTCAATACCCTCGCGGACCGGTCCTCCACAAGCCCAAGCCTTCGGGGCACATACGGCTTACTTTGCGTTGCCACAGTGCGACACACCTGTGCACACTCCGGCACCATACTTCGCACACCTGGCGGTCATATCTCACCTGAGGGTCCACACGAACTCCATGATGGTCCTAAACACGCCATCCTCGTGCAAACCCACCACCTTCGCCACCAACGCACTCAAGCCACCAGCAATCTTCTCGCGCGGCAGTGAGCCTACCGGGACTCCCCCGGCTTTTCCAACAGGAGGGACGCTGGTGCTGCAAGACCCTGACCCAGCACCAACCCTCCGGGCTCGAAGACTCTGGCCGGCCCCGGAACAAGTTCCAGCGTCGTCCGCCTTCAGCCGCACCCTGTTTGGGAGCGCACGGCATAGAACTAGCCAGCCGCGTCGACGCCATGCTTTGTCTCTCGGTATCCAATGGAACATCTTCGGCACAGACGTCCTGCTCGCCGCCGGGAGCCTGTGCACGTACCCATTGCGTCTCCAAACGGTTACGGGGGTTCTTCCAGCGGAGTTGACCGCATTCTCGTCAGCACCCCATCGTAGCAGGAGGTCTATTGTCGTGGGCACGGCGGAATCACCGAAATCACGCTGGTCGCGAGCCGCCGCCAGGTGCAACGCTGAGGAGCCGTTGTTGTCCGATGTTCGCACCGCTCCTTAGCAACATCCGCATGGCGTTCCAGTTACGGTTAATGGTGGCGAGATGAAGAGGCGTGCGGCCGTTCCTGTCCTTAACATTGGTTGAGGCCCCGGCACTGATGAGGGCCTCGATGCATACCCCGTTGTCGTCTTCCGCGGCCATGTGCAACGCGGTTTTACCGCGCTTGGTTTGCACATTCGTGTCCGCCTCGTGCAGCAGTAGTTCGGTAACTCGGGGTGATCTTGGGAGAGCAGTAAAAGAGTGCACCCTTCGTCGTCACGGACGTCAAGGTTCGGACCGGCAGCCAGAAGCTCCCGGAACACGGAAATCGGGCATCCGCAACGTACGAAGTACCAGAGCAAAGAATGCGGACATCCTTCTTGAATGTTCCCGATGTTGGGGTCGGCGCCGTGCTTCAACAAGGTGATCATGGCCGCGAAATCCTGAAGACCGCAGCTGTGCTCCTTCTTCCAACGATAAACGGCCTCTCGAAACGTGACGGCGAGAGGCGTACTCTTGTGATTATCTGGTGCCTCGATGATAGCCCCGGCCGAGATGAGAAGATCGATGCCGTCAACCTTGTTGTACATAGCGGCACGGTGCAGAGCGGTAAACCCATTTGTGTTCCTTGCGTTTACGTCGGCTCCGTGCTGAATCAAGATTTTCATAGTGCCGTCCACGTGCTCGCTCAAGGTGGCCAAGGATAGAGCAGCAGATCCATCGGTGTGGTCAGCGGGAGCTTTGACGTCTGCCCCAGCGTCCAACAAGACTACCGTAGCATCTTCACAGCCGAACTCGGCGGTCAAGCCAAGCGGCGTGCGGCCTTTGGCGGTAAGCGCTTTGATGTCAGCCCCATGTTGTACAAGCGCGCGAATCCCTTCCGAGCATCCCACCGTCGATGCCACATGGAGAGGCGTGTCACCATCATCGTCCTTCGCGTCCACACGAGCCCCGTGACGTAGCATCGAAGCATTTGCTTCAGGGCAATCATCCATACACGCGTGATGGAGGGGTGTTCTACCTGTAGCGTTCACTATCCCGTTCATAGCAGCCCCGGCTGCCACAAGCTTATCGATCAAAGCTGCGTTAGTGTCCAGGCTGACCTTAAACAGGGCCGTACACCCACATGAGTCTGTGGCGTCGACAAACGCTCCGTGCTGGATCAAGGTCGTCACAATGTCGGCGTGCCCTCCCTGAAAAGCCGCGTCCAACGCCAACTCGTCTGAGTATGCTGGGCGAAGGTTGACATTCACGCCGGCAGCTAGAAGCGATTTCACGACCGCGATGTGGCCGCGGCCGGCTGCTAGGTTGAGAGCGTTACAGCACTTCCGCTCCCACCTGGACATCTTCCCCGACCTGTGCACGTCTGCTCGGTGCTTGACCAGCGATAGAGCGGTTTCGGACAAACCCTTCTCGCTCGCCATGTGCAGAGGCGTGTACCGTGCGCCATCCTCGCCACCCTGAGCGTCGATATTCGCCCCAGCCTCCATGAGAGCGTCGATCGCACCCACCGCATCCCCCGTCGCAGCTGAGTGCAAGGCCGTGAGGCTGTTCGAGTCAGGGGCGTCGACGTCCACTCCGTGCCGAATCAACGCTTGCATGACCTCAACATGCCCACCTCTAGCAGCCAGACCCAATGCCGAAAACGCCTTGTCCTTCCCGTACCGCAAGCTCGAGTCTTCCCCAGCCGCCAACAGAGCTTGAACGGCAGACAGAGATCCACGCTTCGCCGAGAGATGAATTGGCGCCCGGCCCTTGGTGTCGAGCACATCCACCTCAGCCCCGTCAAGAAGAAGCATGGACACGACATCGCCGAGGCCACTAGCGGCAGGAAGGTGGAGAGGGGTATCGCCGTTGTTGTCTATCGCCTTCGTGGGAGCTCCCAGCCTCAACAGCTCTCGCGCGAGTGCGTCCTGGCCAGCTCTGAGTGCCAGGTGGAGAGCACTCCCGCCCGCCTCAGCTTCCTGGAGTTTAGTCACGAGATCGAGATTGCCCGCACTGGCGGCGTGTTCCAGCGGAGTTCGCAGCCACTCCGCCCACTGCATTTTGCTTGTCCCAGCACAGACGAGATCGAAGATGGTTTCCTCCGTCCCCCGCAGTTTCACCCTAGAACTGAGCTGGTCGCTGGATTCTGAGACCCCTTGCTGTTGCTGTTGCTGCCCTTGGCTCGCCATCTCCGGGTAGTCTACACTTCAGCATGCAGCGTACACCCCTCACGAACACACCGAAAGGCCACCTTGGGTTCAACTGCTGTGAAGGGAAAGACAATGCCCTACCTACAGCAGTGGTTGGTGTGGTTTCTTCTTTCTAGGGGGGTGTAAGCTGCCAGGTATATCGCGGTGTCGCGTCGTGCGCCGTGTGTGGTAACGACAACGAAGACGAGCACGAAGTGAGTGAGAGTGAGCAAAGCCTACGCAACACGCAACTCCGGGCTCGGGGCTCGGGGCTTTCCGATGCGCGTTTCACAGTCCCGTCTCTGGCTAATTTTAACTGGTGGCGCCTGGCAAAAAAAAAAAGAAGAAAGTTAAAGGCCTTCTTCCCCTTCTCTCGCGGCTCTCCCTCCGGGAAACTGTAGACATCTCGACGACCACGACGTCGATTTAAAAGCGTATTTCTGCAGTAGATGGGCAGAAAGCAGGAGGACAACTTTCAAGCTGTCTTCACCTTGAATAACTGTCCCTTTGTCCCCTTTCGATGCTGTATTTATGACAATGCGTCGGTACCTACTACTCAGAATCATCTGCCGCCATGTAGCATTTCAGCAAGTACACCACCCCTTACAAAAGCAAGGAAGGCCAGCAGTATTCAAGGGCAGCAGCAACAGCGGTGATTGTAGCAGCAAACACGTAGAGTGAGGTGATGCTGCGATGAGATCGATGAGATCCGCGCTTGCTTGTGTGGTGTAAAAAGATACGATGTCGTCGCCGCCCATGCATAATTCCCAACGGCGTAAAAGAGAGTCTCGCTCTCGCTGTTACTCTGCGCAGTCATGCCGCACCACGCCACCATACACAACAACAGCAGGAACACTAGTACGTCGTGCTGTAGTCTATAGATGTGTAATGCTACAGGTCCGCGCTTGTGATGCGTGCAATTAGATGAAGATCCCTTGCCGTCCTTCTGCGGTACATGTCCGCGAAATTCCAACGAACGGCAAAGGGAAAAAAGCAGGGTACACGGCGGTACCGTTTTTTTAGGCTGTACCGAATCATGGCGGGAATTTTTAGTCGGGAAGCGGTTTTCGTTTTTTCGGCGGGAACGCCTTTTGCGGATCCGGTAACCGTGAATTATGGCGGTACTTTCCACGGCGGTTCGCAGTACGGCGGGAACGCCTTTTGCGGATCCGGTAACCGTGAATTATGGCGGTACTTTCCACGGCGGTTCGCAGTACGGCGGGAACGCCTTTTGCGGATCCGGTAACCGTGAATTATGGCGGTACTTTCCACGGCGGTTCGCAGTACGGCGGGAACGCCTTCGGCGGTACCGGTACCACCAAAATCCGGCGGTACCCTTCACCGGCGGTTCGCATTATGGCGGGAATGCCTTCGGCCCTAGCTATATTATAGGTATACATTAATATATCAGGATATATGATACATTTCTGTGGCGGCTGAACGAACAGCAAGCCTTCTCTCTTATTTCACCTACATGCGCCTGTGCACACAACGAAGATGATGGATTGTGATTTTTTAGATGACAAAAGAAAAAGTTTTGAGAAGACCACCTGGAGAAGACCAAACACAAAAGACCAGAAGCTAAGAAAAAAGATGAGACAAGAGACCAGACAAAAGGCAAAAGACACAAGTCACTGCCACAAGAAAGCATGAACGACGAAAAAAAAGCACAGAAAAGACAAAATACATACTTGTACTACGATGAACGGACACCGAACAAAACAAAACAACCACACTCAGCAGGGGCACCCCTCTTGCACGGCCGCGGGCTACTCTACACTCTCGGTTACCCTAGTCTAAAAGGAGACGTCAATCGCCGTGTTCGCTCTCTCCTCCTGTGCAACCGCGGATATCTCTGCGCTATTATTGGCGGCCATAGCTCGTGCCTCCGGATCGCTCGCAGTCACCGAGCCGTCCACATCCACTGTTGTTGTTTGTTGTTGTTTCTCACATTAGCTCTAAAAAAAGAAAGATTGGGAGCCCGTGGTCTCAAAACCCGGCATACACGACCCCACGAAGAAACAGAAAAAAATAGGGTACAAAAACCACTCGGAAGAGAAACAAAATGATAGAAAGAAAGACCAGCTACCGCACCAAACGAGAAAGAGCGTCGAGGAGACCGATCAAAATAAAATAAAAGGAGAACGGGGAACGCTTCCCACACCCGCCTACAACGCCGGAGGGTTCCGTGCCGGGTTCCCGCCGACCAGGCATCCCCCGCC